ACAATAAATAAACTTTTTAACCTAGTGAAAAATACAAAACAAACTATTATCTTAAACGGAGACTTTAATATACATTTTTTCTCTACCGATATTAAATATAAAATGTTTAAAGACCTAACTGATTCTTATGATTTTAGGGTGACTATAAAGGGAAAGACCAGGCAAAAAAACTGTATAGACAACATTATTCTCAGGACCTCGGCCCAGTCTAATTCAACGGTAATCGAGCCCGGGCTGTCTGACCACATGGCAGTGGTGTTACATCTCACTATAAAACGAAATAAAACTTTAATTTCCACTATTAAAACAAGAGTCGTAAACAATGCAAGCAAATTTTACTTTTATCAAAATTTATGTGACGTGGATTGGAGTTTTGTGAGTGATGGCTTTGTCGATATAAATTCAAAATTCGACAATTTCATAAATATACTAAATAGTAATATAAACACATATTTTCCTGAAATTGAAATTAAACGTAACCCACAGAATCTACACATAAAAAACCCATGGTTTAATAATAAATTAAGAAATATTAGAGAACAAGTCAAATTTTTTAGCGAGGCAAATCAACTCACCCCATCAAATTGCACAAAAAACACTACAAAACTGAACTTCAAAAAGCGAAAAATTCTTACTATTCAAACATAATTGCACAAAACAACACACCTAAAACCTACTGGAATATAATAAATAAAAACAGAGAAAAACCTAAAAACAAAGTAAACAACAGTATTATTGACGTCAATGACCTAAAATAGTATATTAAAGTACAAGTTGCAGAAGGCCACATATTCTCGCACGAATTCGAAATTTGGCCTCGAGCGACGAAGGAGCGAGTGGACGAACGAATAAGTGCGAGAATAGCCTTCTGCAACGTGTGATTTATACTATTTTCTCGATTTTAACTTTTATTTAGGTTTTTTTAATTGTTTTGTGGTCGTTGTTAGTTGGGGGATTTTTCTCGCAAAATGTCAGTTGGCAACACAAAATGACAGTTGCATGGACAGGTAGATTTATTTTTATTTACTATTTATTAATAATCGTTCTGTTTTTGTCAACTGGATAATAGGGTTTTTTGTAAGTATTGTATTATTTTTTAATGTTTTCTGATATTTTTGAACAATTGTGTTTACTTTTAGCAGTGAAAAATGTCACAGGAGGTTTTACAAGCAACACCGAACATTACAATAAAAGTTTATAACTATTGTGCTAGTGATTAATTTATAGTAGTTTTGTGTTTTGTGTACTGTGGGTATATAATATTTCCAATAAAATATAGTTTGATTGACCTGTTTGGCTCATTTATTTGTTAATATTTGTTATCCTGCACAAGTTCAACCTGAACTGCACTTTTTCACATTAAACTTAAAATTTTGCATTAAAATGCATTGTTGGAGCAAACTTAATATAACAAAACAATAATAAAAACTTCATTTTCAATAAAAGTGTAGTTTAGGTTTCACTAGTGCAGGATAACAAACAAAGCTATTATAAAATTTATATTTAATAATCCTAAAAGTAATGAATTTGAGGTTATTAAACAGTTTGACATTTTGGGGGTACCAATACTTAAAAACTAAATGTTACCAAAAATCGTTTAAGAATGAGCTTCATTCTTCAACGATTTTGCGTGCGAGAATATGACATTCTTACATAAAAATCGAGAAAATTTTTTTACTAACATTCCAATTGAAATTAAAAATAACCTACCAAACATAAATATATCTTATAAATCCTATTTAAATAAATCAAATTTTCCGGAGTTCAAAATTAAAAATGTTTCTTACAACGAAGTTCGTGAGTGCATAGAAAATCTCAAAAATAAAAATAGCTGCGACCACTTTGGAATGTCATCAAATATAATAAAATCAATTAAAAATATTATTATTCAACCATTAACAAAATTGTTTAATTTATGTATCGATCAAGGCATCTATCCTGAAATACTAAAAATTTCTAAAATAGTGCCTATTCATAAGGGCGGCGACGACATAAACACAAATTATAGACCTATATCATTAGTCCCAATCATTTCTAAAATTTTTGAAAACGCCATTGCAAAACAAATCACAAGTCACTTTGAAACCTATAACCTGTATAACAAAAATCAGTTTGGTTTTCGAGCAAACAAATCGACCAGTTCTGCGGCAATACATTTGATAAACAACATTTGTATGGGCTACAATAATAATCAATTTGTAGGAGTAACTTTCTATGATTTAAATAAAGCGTTTGATTGTGTAGATTTCGATATTTAATAGATAAATTAAAACAATATAACTTTAATGAAGACTCCTGCAGATTTTTAAGTTCATATTTATTAAACAGAAAACAATAGGTATGTCTCGTTTGAAAATAAGGTGTCTAAACATGCAGTAGTTCAGTCAGGTGTCCCTCAAGGATCAGTCCTCGGCCCTACATTATTCCTGCTTTACATAAATGATATAAGTGGGCTTAAAGGTTCTGAAACTATCCTTTTAGCAGATGATACTTCAGTAGTAATACCTTGTAAAAATTTAGAAACTTTAAATAAAAAACTAACTGACAGTAGGCTACATACAACACAATATTTTACCTCGAATTTCCTAAAAATAAATGAAAGTAAAACTAAAAACATCGTCTTCACTCACTCAACTTCAATAAACATTGGAAATCCCCCAAGTGTTAAGTTTCTTGGCCTAATGCTTGATGAAAAGTTAAACTGGGGACATCATATTGACCATATAGCATCCAAAATATCAAAAAATATGTTTGTGATAAGGTCCTTGCGTAATCTGGTCCCTATGAATATAATAAAAACAGCCTACTTTTCACTGATTGCATCGCACCTGTCATATGGGTTAATATGCTGGGGACACGCTCCGTGTAGTGGACGATTGTTTGGTCTGCAACGCAAGGTCCTGAGAATAATAACAGGAGCGGGATACACTGAATGCGTAAAAAAATACTTTTCAGAATTAAAAATTTTAACCCTACCTGCCATGTTTGTATATGTTAGTTTGTTGCACGTTTATGACTACATAAACTCCTATAAGACGGTAAAGAATATTCACGATTATAAAACTAGGCACTCTGAAAACATAAGAACTGAATTTTCGAGAATTTGCGCCAGCAGAAATGGTTCAAATTATTTTGGGCCAATCTTCTATAATAAAATTCCTTTAAAAATAAGAATGTTAACAAGAAAAAAATTTGAAACTTCAATAAAAATATTTTTAATAAACAATTCTTTTTATAGTTTAGATGACTTTTTAAGCTGTGATTGTCAAAATATGTAGTAATTAGTCTTTCTATGCTTGTACTAGGTAGGTATATCCATTTTATAATAAATTATTAATTTTAATGTTGAAATTTTAAATGTAATTTGTGTATCTATTTTGTAACTTGTATTTCGACTTGTGTAAACTTTTTGTACTTAACACGAATAAAGATGATTATGATTATGATTATGATTATGATTATGATTATGATTATGATTGTAGGTATGTTATTGCTCCATAATTAGTAGTCAAACCGTCGTTTGACCTTGCGTGCAGAGATAGATTAATCATTTGCGTGCAGATGATTATTTAAAAGTCTACAAACAAAATTTGCACCACCTGATAATAAGGTTTTAAAATTGTTGAATTTTTTACGGTAGCCCTGGTAATTTTGCCATCAACAAGAGTCGCGCACCCACAAAAGCGATCCTGCACTGAAAGAAATGTTTAAAGCTGGTAATAAAATATTTAATAATACTTCATTATTACTGTTAAACAGTTTAATTATTATCACCAAGTTATTTTGTGCTACCAGTGAAGCAGTTTAATGATGGCTATTATGTCATTTAAAGATTAACTATAACTGTAGGTAAGTAAGTGACTAAATTGTGCCTAATTTTAAATATTTTCATCAATAATTATTATTAACAAAATTATAAATATTCAGTTTGATTTTAAAAATACATGCATTTTTCTATTGAAAACTTAAACTGGTGTGGGGGCTAGGTTATAATTAATATTTAGAGCTAACTTGTCCTGTATGATTTTTTTTTATTTATTTTAACCAACCCCCCTAAAAAAAAATAATAATAAAAATCTTAATAAAAATGTGTGTATATAAAATAGTAAAACACTGTATGAGATCAAAAATGTTTATTAAAATAAATAAGAACTACATGGTTTTAAATGCATTTAAAAGTATTTAACAAAACAACAAAATGTTTATTAAAATAAATAAGAATGTTTATTAAAATAATAATAAGCCTCCAAACCTATTTTTTTTTTAAAGCACTGAATTCTCTCCATTTCCATTGCACTATAAAAAGTTTCTATTAGCATTTAACACCATCGACCACTCACTCCTCACTCTCACGTTGCGTCGTTTGCCAAAAGTACAGCGAAACCAAGCATATTTTAATAATAGTAATTAAAGTATTTAATAATCATTAATAACCGGTTTAATAATGGTAATAATAAAAATAGTAATAAAACAATTTAATAACCATATTTAATCAATGTAATTGTCCTAATCATCCTTTAATTGGTTTAGGTATTTAACCACAATAACCACAATAAAAACGTTTTAAGAATCCGTGTTTAACAATGACAGTGATAACATTGTTATAATAGTATATAAATGTATTATTGTTACAATCATATGTATTATTATCACAATTAAACAAGTATTTGTTAAAGTGTTTTGTTAGCTCATTTCTTTCAGTGTGAGGTCATCACCAAGATATAGGTATATTATTATATTTTTAATTTATTAGTATTGGTATATTGGAACTTGTCTATTTAATGTTATTATAAACTATTATAAATTTGGTGTGGATCCCATGTCTAATAACTGAGATATTGGTATACCCAACGTCCAACCGCCGCCACTGACTCTTAAATAAATATGTAAGATACGGCCTTAAATATTTAACAAATTCTTACACTTTCTTAAAATCCGGTCGTGAAACATTTTAAAGATTACTCGCGTTGAACTTTCTCGATAAAAAATTAGATAGGTACCTTTAAATACTCTGGTTTTAAATGTTCCTTCTCCAGAACATTCACATTTTGCAGTTCCAATTCTAAGTCGATGGCACGGGCACATAACTGTACAGCTCTTACGGGTGGGCTTGGTGCGAGCATATAAAGTTTGGGAGCCATGGGACCGGCTAGCAGACAGACAGAATACTGAATTAATTTTAAAAACTTGCTGCAGCCACAATCCACACAACAAGGTCTGTTCTATCTCGATAAAATGCGAACGAAAATCAGGACTGTTATGCGCACCACGTCAGAGATTGATGGCCACCATCTTTGATTTATTTGCCGCTATTAATTTAAAAATAAAAAGTTGTTTAAAGTTTTAATGTAAACGCAAATGTTTGTTTTAAAAAAAAGATTTGACAAAAATATGTTAATTAATAAATTATTAAAGATATATTTATAAAAAGGTATTTTGAGCAAGTAAATATAGTTGTTTCAAGTTTTAACCTAAACAGAAATAAACACAAGTACACTATTTCTACTTGTGTAAATTAAACATTATTTTACAATATGGTAATCAATAATCAATAATTTTTTTAATAATTAATAATAATTATTATAACATTTAATACATTTTCTTAAAAATTGATTATTGGCAATATTAAAATCTATAAATAAAATTATCAATGATGAAAGTATTTTAGCAAGTAAAAATGGATGTACCCGACCATAGTCGATGATTTTTTTAGAAATTAAAAGTTAAGATAGAACTAATATAAATCAAAATAATTTAATTAAGACAAATACATAATATTAGTTAGTTGAGTACTGCACATTGATAATTTTTTAGTAAATTAATTTTTGAAAGTACGGAAATTATTAAGATTAAGGTAGGATTTCTAGTAAGTAAATAAAACAAAAAAATATAATATATATTTTCAATAAAAAATAATCAAAATAAATATTAATAAACTTAAACATAAATAGTATTTTTAAATACACTTAAATTTTTGCATAATTTAACAAAATAAATATATTTCTTCACAGAGAGAAATTTTTTATTGGTGGGTATTAAATCGCTTTTTCTGGTTTTATTAAAAATAATTTTATTCTAAATATAAAATTATAATTAATATAAAGAAGCCAAACTTGACACAAAATTTTTTGCTTCTTTTTGCTTAATTCATGGAATTAAAATATTTAATTGGAAAATGTGTTCTTATGAAAATAAAATTGTTGTTCCAGGAATAAAGCCTTGCTTATTTTAATCAAAAATTTCCATGATCAAAAATTCAACTCGATATTTTATTGCAGGAATTAAAATTGAATTTGCCATGGAATTATAAAAAACTGCTTATAACTATAATTTAATTGTTAATAAAATAAAAACAAAATTAAATATATATAATTGGAAAAACTAAAATTTACTTGTGACAATTAAATCATCATTTCATAGAATTAAACCAATTTTTCGGCAAGTAAAGAGACGTCCCACCAAACCGAGTCTCGCCTCCTGTCTGCCTGCCTCACAGACGCCTGCCTGTATACTGTGTATAGGGTTGCCAACCGTCCTATATTCAATAGGACAACCTTATATTTGACGCTTGTGTCCTATATTGTTCTATATGTCCTATATTGTCCTATATTTCATCAATTTGTCCTATATGTCCTATATCTCAAAAACTAGATTTGTAGAATTTAGGTATGCGTTTTTGAATACGCTTAGGAAAATTAAATAAAAATAAAAAACACACTTTTGAAAAAATCCGATAGCTATGAAAATAGAGTATACAAAAGCATTTTAAAAACTAAAAAGTTAAAGAATATACCCCTTATTATAAATAATTTTTAACTTTTTCTTTTTGACACGCGTTAACAAAATTGTTTTTTACCCTTTTATATAAATAAACAATCTTAAAATATTTATAATTTTTAAACCCTCATAACTAAAAAACGAAAAAAAAATTAAATTTATTTTATACTTAAAGTAACCCTCCTACAGCGTGATATGGCGTAGATCCGCCCTGTATATTTTTATGCCTTATAAATTATTTTATTTATTTGTTTTATGTTATTATATATTATGTTGTTATATATGTTTATATTATTATTTTATGTTTTTGACTAAATAGTCTATTGTTTTTTTATAAAGAAATGAAATATGCTGTATTTTTAATTTATTAAATATATAAATATTTGTGTACCTTACTTGTTACTTGGAATCAAAATAAAAATATTAGAAAAAAATTGAAAAAATAAACGCTTAGGTTAAGTACTCTTTTAAGTACATTCTAAATTTTAATCTATGGGCTGTTTGCTGCCTAACCTAAATCGGACCAAGACAGCCGACGTCCTATATTTTTATTTACAATAGTTGGTAACCCTAACTGTGTAGGGCGGCATCGTTATTTCATCCAAAACACGGCTTTTTCTTGTGGGTCGCGTGTGAGGAATTTCGGTAAAAAGTTAGTTTAAACAACGGTTTTAGAAGTATTTCAAGTGGAAGTGAGGTGATGTAGATACCATATACCTACAATGGATATGAAAGAATCGCTAAAGGATTGGGGATTAGAAATCTTAGTTCCTGTATTTGAAGGTAAGTAACTATGTAGATACATTACAACTACTTACAGGTAAATGCTATGAATTTTGAGTAGGAAGCGCTCAGCATCATTCTTGGTTTATTTCTGCCTAAAAGAGACTACCTAGCTATATAATTTTGATTTTTGAGTGCCGGTTTATCAAAGTCCAGTTAAAGTTGCAGTTAGTTATCTGAAAGATAATTTCCATGGATACCATTGTTCTCACAATGATCGATATGGAATTTAACTGTCAGATAGACTAACTGGAACTTAACCAGAGATTGATAAACCGGCCCTGAAACATTTAAAAGATACAAATTTTTTTCTACAAGCGCCATTTCTATAAAGTGAAAGCCAAACAAAAACCCTTGTACTAGTACCCTTGGTTATACCTTAACCATACTTCACTGGTGAATTTTTTTAATCTTAATGGTAAGCTCTAGTACCAATTTTTTAGGTACAGGGTGGTCCACGTAAGGTGACCCATATACTTATCTCAGAAACTACTGGAGTCACAAAAACTTGTAAGGAACAAATATTCACGAAGTAAAAAATATTTTTTAAATATTATATTTTCATTCATACAGGGTGTTCGGTTTTCCTTGGGAAGATACCAACTTTCTTATTTTCAATGGAACACCCTGTATTTTTTTGCATTTTTGGATTCTACACACTATTTTAGTTATACTTCGTAAGTATATTATTTTTAAGAAAATGTTATTACTTTTTGAGTAAAATTAGGATTTCTTAAAATTTCTCTAAATGTAGACATTCGCTAAAAGTTAAAAATAACCAACTAAAAGTTTTTATTTTTTATATTATGCAGTATTCATCTCTTTGTCAACAACTAAGCTATAAGTTGATCATTATATTATACAGGATGTTTTCTATGGCCCGTTCAAAATAGCGATTTTAAAAGTTTAAAATCTTGTTTTTTTTCAATGGAAAACCCTGTATATTTTTACATAATTGGATAGAATAAGTTTTTTGAGATTCAATATCCCAATAAGGAAAACAACCTTTTTACAAAATATTCTGAGGTGTTTAATGCAGCTCTGGAACTTAAGAAACAAATATGCATTAATACGGATAATGAATTTATGGTGGATCTCTTGGCGGGCGAATTATCAGCAGGTGAGTTACATTCAAAGCAGGCCACTTCTAGCTTTTTCATTGCTCAAGAGCCAAAAATCTGGCTCTTGGTCAATCGATCAGTTGTTTTTTACCTCCAATTAAATAAAAAATAAATTTCTCTTATATTCCAGATTCACAAACCCTTGTTCAAACATATTTGTTATGTTCCTTCATATGTAACAAGTCATTAAAATTAAATGGAAGCCAAGTGTTGCTGAATCAAGGGAGTCTTTTATTCTCCAAGTTAAGGTAGATATAATTTTTTTTACATATTTTTGCACAATCTATGTCCAAAAGTCTTTGTATCTGTAGTCTGCCATGTACGAAGCTTTTTGCACACAGTCAACCGTGTGCAAAAGTCTTTGCACACAGTTATTTTTGTAAAAACTTCTTTTTGGAGAAAGCAACCGCACTTATTTGTTTTCAAAGAACATTTGATTTATTTGCTTTATCTGTGTAATTTAAGTTGTTGTTATACTTACTTATTCTATTCTCATAGTTTTTTGTTTTTGATTTTTTTAGACGCCTGATCAAATTGAAGAGGTTATTAATGCCAAAAGAGAAAAGGCTTGAAAATATGGGGCGACACTACAACCGTTTGTAATAGCTGAGGCGCCATCCGTCACAAAGGTACTAAGTTCTGTTATGTTGATGTTTTATATAAAACAAACTCGCTGCTACAAGCAATAGATATATGTTTTAACTTAAACTTTTAAGGCAATTATTATAATAGATACCTATAAGACTGTATTTTTTGATTTTTACAGATTTTTTTATTCAATTATAATATATATTTTATTCAATTATAATATATAGGTATAAGACTGCATTTGTTGATACTCGAATATTTTTTTCAGGTTTAGAATGTTTATTTTTTATTTAATATTTAAGAGTTTAAATTTTATTTTGTTTTTTTTTGGTTTAAAAGAAATAAAGCTCAGTTTATGGAAGCATTTTATTGTTTAATTTTGAAAGTAGGTCCTTATTCCTAAATGTTCATACCCTATAGTATAAATTAAATTTATATCAACTGTAATTTTGTGTATTTTGCAAATATTTGTTGTGGTTTTAGGATGCATCTTTTATGGAAAAATACAAATATGCATATTTTCTTCAAAATTTACTGTAGTTTGTGTTGTGTAACGAGTTGTATAATTTTAAATTTATTGGGTCACATGAACTGCACTAAATATGTGAAGAAACAAAACATATTTTGATTGTTTTTTTTTTCATAAAAGATCTACAGGATGCCTCAATGGTGACGGATTCTTCCATATTACGTAACAGGAGTATCTAGGAAAAAAATACAAGAGTTGTTGCATTTTAAGATGTGCAGCTTCTAAAAATATCTTTTTTTTAAGCAGCCTAATATAAAAATACTTTCGAAAGATGCACATTTTAATGCCCGCAATAACTTTTGAATTTGTTTTATTTATTCTCTGTTTCGAACTATTGAAGAATCGGGCACTATTGGGGCACCCTGTATAAAACCACGAGAAATATTTTCTAAATGCATTAATTAA